CTCCGAGGGGGGGGGGGCGTGCCTCAGTTTCCCTGCGCACTGCAGCGCTTTGGGGTGGGGGTGCGTGCCTCAGTTTCCCTGCACACTGCAGCGCTTTGGGGTTGGGGTGCGTGCCTCAGTTTCCCTGCGCACTGCAGCGCTTTGGGGTGGGGGGGGGTGCCTCAGTTTCCCTGCACACTGCAGCGCTTTGGGGTTGGGGTGCGTGCCTCAGTTTCCCTGCGCACTGCAGCGCTTTGGGGTGGGGGTGCGTGCCTCAGTTTCCCTGCGCATTGCAGTGCTCCGAGGGGGGGTGCGTGCCTCAGTTTCCCTGCGCATTGCAGTGCTCCGAGGGGGGGTGCGTGCCTCAGTTTCCCTGCGCATTGCAGTGCTCCGAGGGGGGGTGCGTGCCTCAGTTTCCCTGCGCATTGCAGTGCTCCGAGGGGGGGTGCGTGCCTCAGTTTCCCTGCGCATTGCAGTGCTCCGAGGGGGGGTGCGTGCCTCAGTTTCCCTGCGCATTGCAGTGCTCCGAGGGGGGGTGCGTGCCTCAGTTTCCCTGCGCATTGCAGTGCTCCGAGGGGGGGTGCGTGCCTCAGTTTCCCTGCGCATTGCAGTGCTCCGAGGGGGGGTGCGTGCCTCAGTTTCCCTGCGCATTGCAGTGCTCCGAGGGGGGGTGCGTGCCTCAGTTTCCCTGCGCATTGCAGTGCTCCGAGGGGGGGTGCGTGCCTCAGTTTCCCTGCGCATTGCAGTGCTCCGAGGGGGGGTGCGTGCCTCAGTTTCCCTGCGCATTGCAGTGCTCCGAGGGGGGGTGCGTGCCTCAGTTTCCCTGCGCATTGCAGTGCTCCGAGGGGGGGTGCGTGCCTCAGTTTCCCTGCGCATTGCAGTGCTCCGAGGGGGGGTGCGTGCCTCAGTTTCCCTGCGCATTGCAGTGCTCCGAGGGGGGGTGCGTGCCTCAGTTTCCCTGCGCATTGCAGTGCTCCGAGGGGGGGTGCGTGCCTCAGTTTCCCTGCGCATTGCAGTGCTCCGAGGGGGGGTGCGTGCCTCAGTTTCCCTGCGCATTGCAGTGCTCCGAGGGGGGGTGCGTGCCTCAGTTTCCCTGCGCATTGCAGTGCTCCGAGGGGGGGTGCGTGCCTCAGTTTCCCTGCGCATTGCAGTGCTCCGAGGGGGGGTGCGTGCCTCAGTTTCCCTGCGCATTGCAGTGCTCCGAGGGGGGGTGCGTGCCTCAGTTTCCCTGCGCATTGCAGTGCTCCGAGGGGGGGTGCGTGCCTCAGTTTCCCTGCGCATTGCAGTGCTCCGAGGGGGGGTGCGTGCCTCAGTTTCCCTGCACACTGCAGCGCTTTGGGGTTGGGGTGCGTGCCTCAGTTTCCCTGCGCATTGCAGTGCTCCGAGGGGGGGTGCGTGCCTCAGTTTCCCTGCACACTGCAGCGCTTTGGGGTTGGGGTGCGTGCCTCAGTTTCCCTGCGCATTGCAGTGCTCCGAGGGGGGGTGCGTGCCTCAGTTTCCCTGTGCACTGCAGCGCTTTGGGGTGGGGGTACGTGCGTCAGGCAGGAGTCCAGGTTTGCGTAGGTCTCCCCAGGGTGCTTCTGCACCCCTTGGAACTTCTTCCTGTACGTCTTGGGGGTCAGCCCGAACCTGTGCAGCAGGGCCTGTTTGACCCGTTCGTAGTCCCCGGGCTGCAGCCCTTCCACCCCTGCGGCCTTCTGATCCAGCAAAGGGGTGAGCTGCTGGAGCCAGTTGGCTAGGGGGCCCTGGTGCAGCTCGCAGACTCACTCAAAAGAGTCAAGAAACCCGTTCAAGTCCCATACATCCTTACACTGGGACAGCACGAACCTCTCAAAGGGACCTGCAGCCCTGGGCCCCTCTGCTTCTCTGCTCTGCCATGGCCAGCTCCTGCTGCCGTTGTTCCATACAACCCTCCAATTCCTTGAGCTGCAGCTTGGTCTCCAGCCGTGCAGCTCCGCGGAGGGAGAGCCCAGCTGGGACAAACCGCTGGTGGCAGTGTGGCCTGAAGGGCACCGCGTCCGTCAGCCAGACTCCAGCCCCCTGTAGCACTCCCGGGGGTGTCTGGCTGCTCCCAGCTGGGGCAGGATCCAGGCCCCCAGACAGTTCATTCTCTTCCAGCTGGGCACTTAGTTGGGCCTTCCCCTTGGTCAGTTTCCCCAAGGGCAGGCCCCTCCCCTTGCACAGCCAGGTGTAGGCCATCTCCCCGCCGTTCCCCGGGGCAGACACTGGCCAAGGTGGCAGTACCCCATGCCTCCCAGGAAGAACCCCGCAGTGCACCCGGCTCCTTGAGGGCCACTCCCTGTCCTGAGGAACGCTCCTTCTCTGCAGTCACGCTCGGGTTAAGCTGCCTGCCCCTTGGCTTTCTGGAATCGCTTCTCTCTGCCTCCCGCACGCCTGGCTCTTGCAAGCCCCCTTCCTTCTCCTGCGCCCCAGTCACTTAACCGCCGGATGCTCCATCCACGGGGTGCAGTCCATCCCACCCGACACCACTGTGATGACGCGTCGGGGGTCCCCGCCCCTGCATCCCCATCTGCAGCCAGATGTGACCCGCAGGCGGCAGGTAGAACTGAAGGTTAATCGGTTCCCAGGGACAGTGTAGCACGGAATCGATGGTAACCCAGGAGCCAGGGCAGGCAGCCTTATTCCTCTCATGGTGAGGAGGGCTCCCGGGGTCCCTCACCCCCTTTTCTGCTCTCTGCCTCCTCTTTCATCCTAGCCCAGTGGAGACTGACCCTTCCCACAGGCCCTACCCCCCAGTCTGGTGCAGCCCCGCCTGTCCTGTCTCCCTTCCAGGCCAAGGGCTATGATCTCCTGTGTCTGGCCCCAGCACACATCTCGGTGAGTCATCGGGAATTACAGCGAACACAGCACAGCAGAGCCAACACGGGATTATAAAAGTTGCACCCCCACTACCTGTCAGAGGTTATAACCCATCCCCCCATCTCCCCTCAGACACCCCAGCGCTCCCTGTGCCCCCCAGCCCCCCTCACACAGGGGAGAGGTTATAACCCATCCCCCATCTCCTCTCAGACACCCCAGTGCTCCCTGTGCCCCCCAACCCCCCTTACACAGGGGAGAGGTTATAACCCATCCCCCATCTCCTCTCAGACACCCCAGTGCTCCCTGTGCCCCCCAACCCCCCTTACACAGGGGAGAGGTTATAACCCATCCCCCATCTCCTCTCAGACACCCCAGTGCTCCCTGTGCCCCCCAACCCCCCTTACACAGGGGAGAGGTTATAACCCATCCCCCATCTCCTCTCAGACACCCCAGTGCTCCCTGTGCCCCCCAACCCCCCTTACACAGGGGAGAGGTTATAACCCATCCCCCATCTCCTCTCAGACACCCCAGTGCTCCCTGTGCCCCCCAACCCCCCTTACACAGGGGAGAGGTTATAACCCATCCCCCATCTCCTCTCAGACACCCCAGTGCTCCCTGTGCCCCCCAACCCCCCTTACACAGGGGAGAGGTTATAACCCATCCCCCATCTCCTCTCAGACACCCCAGTGCTCCCTGTGCCCCCCAACCCCCCTTACACAGGGGAGAGGTTATAACCCATCCCCCATCTCCTCTCAGACACCCCAGTGCTCCCTGTGCCCCCCAACCCCCCTTACACAGGGGAGAGGTTATAACCCATCCCCCATCTCCTCTCAGACACCCCAGTGCTCCCTGTGCCCCCCAACCCCCCTTACACAGGGGAGAGGTTATAACCCATCCCCCATCTCCTCTCAGACACCCCAGTGCTCCCTGTGCCCCCCAACCCCCCTTACACAGGGGAGAGGTTATAACCCATCCCCCATCTCCTCTCAGACACCCCAGTGCTCCCTGTGCCCCCCAACCCCCCTTACACAGGGGAGAGGTTATAACCCATCCCCCATCTCCTCTCAGACACCCCAGTGCTCCCTGTGCCCCCCAACCCCCCTTACACAGGGGAGAGGTTATAACCCATCCCCCATCTCCTCTCAGACACCCCAGTGCTCCCTGTGCCCCCCAGCCCCCCTTACACAGGGGAGAGGTTCTAACCCATCCCCCACTTCCAAACAGCTTCTCCCCGTCCCAAAGGACCAAAATGGAGCTGATGACGCGAACAAGCGACCTGTCCATGGCTGTAGGCAAAGGGTCCTGGCGGAGCTGCTGGCCTGCAGGTGCATTGCTGCTGGGAGCGACAGTCACTCCTGTGAAGTGCTGGGCCCCAGGGGCAGGGTGGCATCCACGCCAGACGGCCCATCCTGCCATTGGCTCTTCTGCCCTCCCTCCATGAGCACAAGTTCTGCAGGCGGCTTCCCCGACGGTTGTTCACAGCTCAGCGCACGTGGGGGGAAGGGAATACAAACTGGGAACGGGATCTCAGTGGTACTTGGACGTGGGGGAGGGCGAGGTTTCGAGGCGTCAGCAAGAGCCCCCTATGCATAGCCTCAGTAAGGCCTAAAGGACGCACCGAGCTTGCTGCCTTCCCCACTCTGGCATGATCAATGCAGAAGTGGGGGCCCGCAGGTGTACCCCAAAGCCTTATCTACCAGGCTTTGGCATAAAACTTCCCCCAAAATCTTAAAAACCTAGATTTTGGGAATAAAACTTCCGCTGCCACCATCCAAATATTAATAAGATTAGGGGAAAGATTATTTGGGAAATCTCACCCCTATTATAAAAATCAGGACACACAAGTAACCAATGCCAGGTTAATTAAAAGAAAAGAGAAAACTTTTATTATTATAACAATATTCCTGTTGCGAGCATAAGGATCAGCTGGAAAGGTCACAAAATATACTCCTGGGCTGTGTCTAGACTGGCAAGTTTTTCCGCAAAATTGGATGATTTTGTGGAAAAAGGAATAAGCTGCGAGCTGTCTACACTGGCCCTTGAATTTCCGGAAAAGCAACGATGCTCTACTGTACAAAATCAGCCGCTATTCCGGAAAAACTGTTCTGCTCCCGCTCGGGCATAAGTCCTTATTCCGGAACACTGTTCCAGAAAAGGACCAGTGTAGACAGCCCAGTAGTCTTTTCCGGAAAAAAGCCCCAACCGCGAAAATGGCGACCGGGGCTCTCTTGCACAAAACCACGTCTAGACTGCCACTCGAGACGTGCTTTTCCGAAAATGCTTTTAATAGAAAACTTTTCCGTTAAAAGCATTTTCGGAAAATCCTGCCAGTGTAGACGCAGCCATGGAGGAATTACACCGTGGGCTAGAACTTAGTTACAAAGAAAAGCCAAACATCTCGTAAGCAGGGCCAGATCTCAGATCCCAGACCCAACCCTTAAAACAATAAAGCCTAATGAAACTACCTAACCCTCACCCTGATTACAGAAAGTGAAGAATTGTTTCTTGGAGAGCGAGAGACATGTAGCTGCAGAGGACTGGCCCAGAGAGACAAAGGAGGAAAAAACCCAAATTCCTTTGTCCCAGTTTGAAAGTCCTACGTACATTCCTATCGGCCACTCCACCGGGCTAGGTGTAGTTAACCCCTTAATCCCCAGGCTGCTGGCTAACCCGCATAATCATGACACTTGCCTCCTGGAGAACCGTGTTAGCTTTGTACAGAGCGGGTTGACCTGACTAGTGCCGATAACGCCCCTTTCCCTTCAAACAGGCCTGTGTGCGCTGTGGGGGGCTGGCTTCGCACTCCCTCTCTGGGCTGAGAGCGAGGTGCAAGAGACCTGGGCCAAGTGCGTGGAGCCCCCAGACGTCGCTGAGAGGGCCCCTGGGTCACAGGCATCGCTGGAGCGGGGCCTGGCCACGCCGCGAGTGTCCGTGACGCCGCGCGGGGCGGAAGATGCCGGAGGATTCAGACGGGTCAGCCTAAGCCCTGCGCTCCCCCCGGGCAGCCCGCCCGCACCTCAGACAGGGCCTGCCCTCACCTCGCCTGCAGGGCGGACTCAGCCCTTGCCTCACTCCTGGGCCGTCTGCCCCGCTCCCAGCCCTTCCTGCAACCCTCTCCTCCCTCAGGTGCTAGATCAGGCACATCGCGCCCCCAGGGGGTCCTGAAGCATCAGCTGCGACTCCCTAATCCACCCCGCCTGGCCCGGTCCCAGTCCTGCCCTATCCAAGGACGGGACCCTGCTGCTGCCCTGCACAAGAAATCCCTGCGTCAGCATGAGCCGGAGCGGCCCAGGGCCGCAGCGCACACCAGGCGGCACGAGGCGTTTGCACAGCTCCCTGCCCAGCCTGGGCCAAGCAGCTGGAGCTCCAGGCGCAGAACCTCGCTGCGGTGGGCCCGGGCAGGAAGCCGAGGCCGAGGCGCCGGGGGACGAGCCACTGAGAGGCACCATTGGAAGTGGTTCGAACTCAGCGGGTGTCTATCGGACGGGCCAGTCCCATTGCAGTGGTGGGCGGAAAACAAAACCAGCGTCAACCAGCGTGGGCCTCCACAAACCTTCCCCTGCTCCGGGCTGGCAGCCGCCCTCGGTGCCTGGGCCTGCGCTCGTGTCGGTGGGAGCAGGCGAGGGCAGATCGCTCCGGGGCGGGACGGTGCGGGCTGATGCTTCCAGCCAAGGGGCTCTAGGTGCCTTTGCAGGCACAGCTGGCGGAAGCCCCACCCTGCCCTGAGATAGGTCACTTCTCCCCGCTTTTCCAGGGGCAAACAGACAGCTGGGACCTTGCCGAGGTCACGGGGAGGGGCCGGACCTCCGACTCCCGCGTCACTGCTCTAGGCAGAGCCACAGCTCAGCACGCGCCGTAAAACCCCTCACCCCACCCGCCTGCAGAGAGGGGCCCGGCCTGCTGCTGGGGGTCTCCTTGAATGGAGAGGCCTATCTCCTAGAGCTGGAAGGGACCCCGAGAGGTCATCGAGTGCAGCCCCTGCCCCCACGGCAGGACCCAGCACCGTCCCTGGTAGATTTGCCCCAAATCCCTAAGTGGCCCCTCAAGGGTTGGGAAATCAAGCTGCACACACGTTATAACAAAGGTGGATGGGACACATGTAGGGCGTCATGGTTCCACTGTGTCTACCGCAAACCTTTGGTGCACTCATTCAAACCAGAAACAACAGCCATGTGGGGAGGGCCCACTAGTACAGACCTTTGCAAGGAAGGTAACACCACTTTGCGAACCGAGCCATGAGGATATATCAGACTGACTCGTGGAACATGTAGAATTATTGGTGGATATGCGGTACATTTGCCTATAAAAGGCTTCTGCAGAATGCCTCAGGGTTTTGTTACCTCGGTCTCGTGACACCAGCTATGAGGATTGGTGACACTTTGCCACCAGGGCGTATCAGGAACAAGCGGGATGGGTCTTGGGAGAAAGCATGGAACTGGATAGAACAAACTGCCCTTGCAGCAGCTGAAACTACCATCCCATGGGTAGGGCAGGCAAAGACCAATCATGATTGAAAACAATGTCCCTGCTTATGGAGAAATTCATGAATACCACAGAGGGGGCATTAGGTGTGGTACAGGAAAATGTAAATGAATTGCGAATCTTTACCCAGCAAAACAGACTGGCTCTTGACTGTCTACTAGCAGTTCAAGGAGGGGTATGGGGATTCATAGGCCCAGAGTGTTGTGTTAAAGTTTCTGATGTGAGTTCAAACCTAACCACAAGGATAAAGGCAATCCAAACATTGTCTGTCCAGACAAACATTTAGAGCAGTTGCAAGACTGGAATCCTTTGAATTGGTTGGGAACAGAGTTAAGCGAACTCATGAAGAAAGTGGTGGGAGGAATATTGATGTTCCTTGTCTTAATATGCTCTAGATACATAACGATCCAGCTAGCCTTATGCTGGATTAAAAGGTGCTTACAAAAGATAGAGAATGTAGCAGAAAGCAAAGTACAACAGCTGCTTCTGCTAAACGGACAGAACCCTCCCAAGAAGGGCTACAAAGACACTTGCAGTTTGAGGATGAATGGGAAAGGATGCTTCAGATTAATTGTGATCCACAAGTGGATCAAAGGGGGAATGAAGGATAAACTTAACTGTTGTCAGTATGACCCCTGCTGTGACCTGGATGCTAAAGTCTGGTCTTTGTAAAGAGGTACGTGCTTGAGCACAGGTAGACAAAAGGAGGGGACAGGTGAAACTGGTTTGAACCTGTTGTAAGGGCTGCACAATGACTGTGAGGGGACAAATGGTGATTGGAGGGAATTTGGTGCAAAGGGGCATGACCTGTGTATGCAATTGTAAGTGGTCAGTGAAAGGGGGGGAATTTCCATGTAAGAAAGTACAAGAGACCTTGCCTTTTGTTTGGGCAGTTGCAGAAACTTTGCAGGAACTTTTTTCCTGAGTGTCCTGGAGGGTTTTGCCCTGGAATGCATTCCTGAATCAAGCTGGTTGCTTAAGAAGGGTGTCTGGAATGGATTTGGTAGGGGCTTTGGGCCCCGATCCGAACCCTTGGATTAAATTCTCCGTCACCCCTCAAGGATTGAGCCCACAACCCTGGGTTCAGCGGACCCAAGCGGGCAGCACTGCCCAGGAGCCATGGCCCGGAGAGTCACTGGGCTGGGCTGTGCCCAGGGCCGCCCCCTGCGCTCCAGACAGTTGGTGCAGGATGGACCCAGCGTCTCAGAGCTTTCACCCCAGGGTGGGCCGGGAAACAGAGCAGTGCCCCCCCCACAAGGGGCCAGCCAGGCTCCTGGCTGGGGAG